TCCAGCATGTGTATTTCTCCAAGACATGAACTGACCTCCGTAGTCGGCCTTACCCTCGGCCTCTGCCGAGAGTGCTCTCTGCCTTGTCTTGTGGCATATCCAGATAAGACTCGATTCGGTCGCCCATCTCAGAAGTCTTCCTAACTCTGCAACTCTGACGTAAATGCTGGGTGCGCTCCACTCATCACATAGGCCATCCATTGGGGAAGTGCTTATACTGGGCCCCCCCCCCCCCCCCGTCTCGGGTCAGATGGGTCAAGCGCAGGGAAAACGCTGCAAGCGGCGGTACCTCACGTGGCCATGATACAGTACCGTCATTATACGGTCATTTTGCAAATACTAGACCACCAAAAACGCACATTAAGTGACCCATACGTCACGTTCACCTATACCTGTTCGTCACCCCATACAAGTATGCAGCCTAAACGAATGTTGCAGCGCGGAGTTACCTATTTTCGACTCGATGCAGGAAATAAACCGCGTTTTTTCACACTTCAAGTGACCTCCTGAGTATGGTGCCGCTTAAACCTAGTTGACGCAAAACTGTTTCAACGACTTAGCCCATGCGTAATTTACAGATCACAATCGTCTGCTCCGCTCTTAAGATCAGTTTCCAAACGCGCGATGTCGAAAATACAAACGCCGCAACCCAGGCGCCAGCCGTGAACGAGCCGATTATTGCTCGACATTCCGGCTGTTTTGCAGGGCATGACTTTTCGTTTAGCCTTTCTCTCCACGACACGGCAGAATCGGAACATGCTCTTGATGACAATGCTTGCAGTCAGTATATCTGCCGCGATTGAACCATCAGCCAACATCTGATAACCATTAAATACAAAATACGAATGTAGATAAGACAGTAGCATTAGCCTTATTCTTCGGAAAAACCAGAACAGAAATTTAGCTAGGTTGATATTTCGGCAACATGCCTTTCTCAAAACGATAGCAGAAATAATTTCAAAAATTGCCTGTCGATGTTCCTACTCGATATTTCAGGCTTTTTGTTCTCCTTCAAAAAACAAGCCACAGCTTTTACTGGACACCAACATTCAGAGGATCAAACAAAAAAAGATTGCCAGCCATTACCAATATATAGTGCCTATCTAAGGATTATAAGGCTCGGACATATGTTTACATGCAAACGAATTAATTTATATTAAATTAAAATGTTTACATACAACACAAATAGGTATCACGTATCACGCTTCATTCGAACATGCAAGCGAGCTGAAGTAAACAGACATCACACATCGCGCACCAATTATGCATACGAACGATTTAATTTGGAAAGGCATCGCACATCACGCGACAGGCATCACTTACACACGTAAATGTTTTTTTTTAATCTAGCACACATCACACATAGAGGCACATATCACGTTTACATAATTGGTCATAATTGGCCATAATTGGACAGCGCGCCCTTAAAGAGATTTTAGAGTTCATGACAAACCAGCATCCAAAACTAGCTTTTACGATGGAGCATACAGGGGGCGGGAAGGCGGTCCCCTGTTTGGGTACGCTAGTGACGGTGGAAAGGAGGAACAACCGCACAACGTTTCCAACGGAGCTCCTTATCAAGCCCACCAACTCCGGTATCATTCTGTGGTGCGAATCTGCGCATCCAACTTTCACTAAGCACAACATAATTCGTGGCATGTTTCATAGGGCTCTAAACAACCCATCAAGTAGTGAAAAGGAAAGAAAGAGCACAAACAAAATATGGGCTTTGCTGTTGGGTAACGGATATTCTCCATGACTTTTAGTTACAGCATTGGAAGAAGTGAACAAATTTACAGCGCGTCGGGGATGGGTGATAGGAGACGCGAACACGTCCTATCGGAAGACGGATTCTTGACGCTACCTTACATAGATGAGCATTTGCTTTGTAAAACCAAACACATTGTTAAAAAATCAAAAGTGCACGTACGCATGGCTTGGAAAAACGACAAGAAGTTCAAAAAGTCTCTAAATCTTCCATCTCAACGTCTAAAAGCCCGTGAGGCAACAAATATCGTTTATGCAGTTCTGGGTTTCAATGGGTTCGCACGAGGAAAAAAAGTGGTTTACGAAATCAAGTATAAACCGTGTGACAAACATGGAAGGGACATAGTCTATGTTGCTGAGTCCATGCGCCCTATTCGTTTAAGATATAATGAACACCTGCGAGATGCTAAAAACAAAACAGGGAATGCTCCTTTCGGTGACCATTTTTTGGGCAAAACACGCTCAGCTGAAATCGAGGGAAGTATGGACCCTATGCCACTTTTAGAACTCCAAGTCGTCTACAGAGCGCAGGACCACCCAGACAGTAGAATAAATGAATCTATTCTCATAAAAAGTCGGCAACCGAATCTTGACACGCAGGGCACATTATGGCCCACTACGCGAACGTGATATGTGCCTCTGTGTGTGATGTGTGCTAGCTTGAAGTCATTTACATATGTAAGTGATGATGACGATTGGGGTTTTAGGGCGCGTCGACTTCTAGGGTCATTTTACGCCCATATGTAAGTGATGTCAGTCGCTTGATGTGCGATGCATGTTCGATTGAAATCGTTTGCAAGCACAATTGGTGCGCGATGTATGATGCTTCTTTACTTCAGCTCGCTTGCATGTTCGAATGAAGCGTGATGCGTGATGCTGATTTGCTTGAATTCGTTTGCATGTATACATATGTCCGGGCATTCTAATTCTTAGATAGGCACTGTATCTTGGTAATGGCTGGCAATCGCTCTTTGTTTAATACCCTGAATGTTGGTGTCCAGTAAAAACTATGGCTTGCTCTTCCAAAAAAAAACCTGAAAAATGGAGTAGGAACATTGGCAGGCAATTTTTTAAATTCATTTCTGCTATTGTTTCGAGAAAGGCATGTTGACAAAATATCAACCTATTTCTCTATTTTCCTGGTTTTCCGAGGAATAAAGCTAACACTACCGTCTAATCTGTGTGACTAATGTTTCTCGCCAATGCACTGACCAACTTACAAAATACGAATGGATTGAACTCCGCTGCGTGCATAAGGGCGTTCTGTCTGCTCTGTCTGTGGCGTTCTGACTGGCAAATCTTACCCATGCGGCTGGGAAGCGTAGCCCTCGCTGTCCATCAGCAGCCTGCTACATTACATTTCCTAGCTATTGTAGTTGTCCACTGGGGAATCCTATCCATCGCTCCTAGCTTCTAGCTGAAAGATAAATTCCAGATGGCGTTGATAAGAGTTTACGAGGGAGCTGAGTTATTGCTCCCTGGTGCATGTGATACTTTAGGCAATCACTGATTATCTTGCAAATTTATTTGCAATTTTATGTTGTACGAGGTGAGGACATGCGTTCGGCTTGATTGAAGCCTGTTTGGTTTAGATGCGGTGGTATCAATAGCCTTATTGCTCGTAAGCTAACCAGGAGAATGGAAAGACAGATATGATATTTTGTCTACATGCATTTATCGAAACGACATGAGTGGCAAATTGGCAAACCACTACTTGGCATTTAATATTGATATTCGTTCCCAAAAAGGCACGTAGCTGAAATAACACATCTACCTCTCCATTCTCCTCGTTATTCTACCAGGGATAAGGCTATAAATAACGTGTTATACATACGATGTTCCTCGCAAATGCACTTGACAACTTACATAAAGCAACTGAGTTATTAGATTGTTTCACGCTAATGCAAGTTATATATTACATCTGTAGCTCGGCTCGGGATACTCTGCCCTAGATATTATTTAAAGCCTAATTATCTCAAACAAGGCATGGTCGCTCATGAAAAAGGCAGATTTTTAACGTAAATCACGAAACATACAATGAAGCATATCATAATAAAACTACACCTTTACAACAGCGATGCACCGTTGCCCATTCTCCCTCACTCCAGGCTCAGACCTTCCATGGCACGGCTGCACCGCGCAATGCCTATCATTTCATCACAGCCACGATTCCAGATCCGGCAGCAGTAGACTACTGCTGCTGCAGCACCCGTATGCCTGCATGCGGGTCCTCGGCGGCGCGGCTTGTTTGCCGCCGCTGTTCAGGCCAGTGTCTGTGAGTGTGCGGTCTGCGCCGCTGTGTGTGTGCTGCCAGCTGGCGCTCGCCAACGCACGGTTATACGCCCAGCCGGTAGAGCGTTGTCATACGGCGTCCATGTGAATGATACAAACGCTTGCGTAGGGTCGCAGCAAAGGTTTGTATCTGTTGCAATTTCTGTCCTTTTAATCTGCGATGGTTCGACTACTGAGCAGCTTGCATTTAGTATGCAAAGACTAAACTGGATAGATGCTGTGAAAGGTATGCCATTCGAGGATCACATGCACAGCAGTCTACATTTCTCAGAGTTTGTTGTATAACCAATTAACTAACTACAAGCTGACCAACTATGCTATTAACTACTATAACTAACTAACAAATGTATAACAAACTGTTCGCGTGCTCTCCCCCCCCCCCCCTCTCTCTCTCCTCTTGGAGATCAAGTTAAATATGATTATAAGCTTTACTCCCTTGAACCTTAATCGCTTTCAAAGAGCTCAGCATTGAGTGTAACTTCGCTGGACTAGATCTAATCACAATCGCCAATATGCATAGCATCAACTACCTATGGAGCTTCTGTCGACGTTGATTTAATTATTTTTTAAGTACCAATTGTTTCTCGTCAGGCTCCTTACCAACAGCTGAGACAATTCACAGCGATGAGCGCCAAGCCACTGCACGCGACCCATGAAGTTCGTAATTCTTTAAGTGAAAAATGTGAAAGCGTTAAAGGCATTTCATGCTAAGTGTCCAATGGTGCATTTACCGCACTCAACGATTTGTTTCTCAACCTACACATCAATCGTGTGAGGCAAACCATCAAACCTACGCAGGATCTACCAAGTGATATCCCCGGTTGGTTGCTGCTGAAAAGTACCCGTGCTCAGCCAGACTCAAAGATTGAGCACTTCTACGATGCGTCTGGAGAGCGGCCTCGCCAAAGAAAAGGGATCATCGCTCTCGAACCGATACTCACTCTCATCATCGATTTCTGACGCGTCGAGGAACGCATTCATCGCCAGGAGCAGAAGCGTGAAGATCCGCATGATCCGCCTCGTCCGTGAGCTGCGAAGGACGCCTTCCACACCCCGTGACGGTCGGACGGCTCGTCGACGTCTCGGTGTCACGCGGGCTCGGTCTCCGCTCGCCGAGAGCGTGAGACGAGTCGCGGCGTGACGCGCACTTGCTATCTGCCGGAGCCGTCAGTTCTCTTATTGTCCACACTCACGGTATAGCGTTCTCCTCGGGATTAAATCCCACAAGCAATCCTTCTCTTGCGACAAAGTGTGACCACTCGCTTTCGCTCGTCGCGTATACACAGCAACTCGTTGTGTCCAAGAAGCGATGCACCAGGCGGCGCTCCGTTTCCACCTCCCAACGACGAATCGGCGCTATTCCTGGCACGCGAGTGAGTATATGTCCTTTCCGTGCCCCCGCCAATTTCGTAACACGTGTCCACACACGTGAAGCCCCTCAACTTCACATGCACCCCTCCGAATCAGCCAACGTCTGCCGTCTTCCGCCGTATCGCCCTGCGCCGTTCTTCCGTCTCGCCCTCCTCACGTCCGTCTCTCCCTCCTCACGTCCGTCTCACCCTCCTCACGTCCGTGTCGTCCCCCTCACGTCCGTGTGCTCCCCCACGTCCGTCTCTCCCTCCTCACGTCCGTCTCGCCCTCCTCACGTCCGTCTCGCCCTCCTCACGTCCGTCTCTCCCTCCTCACGTCCGTCTCACCCTCCTCACGTCCGTCTCTCCCTTCTCACGTCCGTCTCGCCCTCCTCACGTCCGTCTCACCATCCTCACGTCCGTGTCGTCCCCCTCACGTCCGCGTCGCCCTCCTCACGTCCGTCTCACCTCCTCACGTCCGTCTCGCCCTCCTCACGTCCGTCTCACCATCCTCACGTCCGTGTCGTCCCCCTCACGTCCGTGTGCCCCCCCACGTCCGTCTCTCTCTCCTCACGTCCGTCTCGCCTTCCCCACGCCCGTCTCACCCCCCTCACGTCCGTGTCGTCCCCCTCACGTCCGTGTCGCTCCCCTCACGTCCGCCTCGCCCTCCTCACGTCCGTCTCACCCTCCTCACGTCTGTCACGTCCTCCTCACGCCTCGTCTTCCGTCTCGTCCTCCTCACGCCTCGTCTTCCGTCTCGTCCTCCTCACGCCTCGTCTTCCGGCTCGTCCTCTTCACGTCTCGCGCGCCGCAGTGCCGTCAGCCGTGGCGCGCCACAGATCCCGTCCCACGCGTCCGCCGCCGACGCCTCCGGGCGCTCCGCCCCAGCCCCGCCCGACCACCGCCGCGGACTGCGAGCGTCTGACCCGACGCTGGGAGGAGAGGGGGAGGGGCGGCGCGTGTGCAGCATGCGCCCGCCGCCGGTCGGGTCGAGCGGAGGCGCCGCTGACGCCCGTCACAGCGCGGCACGTCACGCGCGGTCGAGTGGGTGTGACGCCATCTCCACGACACGGACGGGGGCGCATCCTGCCGACGTGGGCAGGCGCGGGTTGCGGGGCGTGATGCTCTGGACCAGAAGTCCTGTACAACAATGAGCACGTCTCAGACAACGGAACCGTGGGAGATCTGGAGCTTGTTCCGAACACACGCTTGATGATGACCTATCGAGCATTGAAGGCAGGCGCATTGCATCGCTGTCACGCCTCAGGCAATGTCAAAGACTCGCACATCACCCGACTCTCTCAATGCGCCAAGCCACAGCGCGTTCAAGCTCCACGACACCGTTATATGGGCTATGCCCCATAGTGGTTATATAACCCGTGGAATCTGGGAAGCTTACACTCGTCCAACGCCACCCGACCTAGTGGCGCGGGGCCCGCAAGAGATTGCAATCCAGGCCGCCCACACGGAACTGTGCAGTCTGAGCGGACAGTGACCTGTCGGACGCACCGCCGAGGAGGCAGAGCCTGAGGGGGGGGGGGGGCGGGGGGGGGGCGTGGCTTTGTCTGCCGTGTCTGTGACAGGCTGCTGTCAGCAGGCCGTAGGCGTTTTTCACAGCCGGTTAGCACGCATCGCGAGTGTGTGCGCTTGAAAATGCATTTTACCCACGCGCTGAAACATTGACTTATCGTTGGAGTCGGCAGGACGGGCACGTCAGCGTTGTCTACGTTCTTTGCCAAGCTTTTGTCCCGAGTACACGCTCCAGCCGAGCTCCGGCTGGCGCGCAAGGGCTGGCCAGCCGCCTGCCGGACGATGGTCTCCTTGTCTTGGCGTCGGTGTTTGGCCGGCCCTCCGGCCTTTTACGACCCCGCCGGTCCCGCGACGGCCGTCTCGCGCCACGGCATCTCGCGCCAAATCACCCGCGCCGCCAGCGAGAATAGGCGCGGGCTGGGATGAAGTGATGAATGATTTCACGCCTCGCGCCCGGCCCTCGGGCCAGCACGCCCAGCCCTCCGGCCAGCCGGCCCAGCTCTCGGGCCAGCGGGCCCAACCCTCCGACCAGCGGGCCCAGCTCTCGGGCCAGCGGGCCCAGCTCTCTGGCAATGGTGACCAGCTCTCATGCCAGCGCGACCGGCTCTCCGGCCATCGCGCCCAGCTCTCAGATACTTTTGTGTTCACTCGAGCCGTTCGATGCAACGTTCTGCCCGTCTGGCAACATTTTTCCAACCCATGTTGATTATATACCAAAGCAGGCGGGCGGGTATGGTGTGGACACGGACGCATAGACACTCAGTGAAGACACTGGTCTTTGGAGAAGAAGGTGATTGACAGAAGATGACCAGTTGAAAATCAGGTTTCATCTTTGCATGAAATTTTAAGATGGTACGACCAGGTCGTTGCAAGCAGTCAACCGTGTGTAGCTATGACATACATGCTGGTAACACATCCCATTCTGGCATGGAGATGGTGTCGTGAATTATACTCCTCTTATCGCTGCTAGACCAAAAAACAAGATGATAGCGAACCGCCTCACCTCTTATGCACGTGCAGTTCGAGGTATTGCCGGATGGCTAAATGCGACCGTGATTCCTGCAGCAATTCCATGTGTCGGGGTCTGACGTGGGCTTGACGTGTTTTAGTTGGCGCCGAGTTGATGAAAGGTCGGGTTCGACAGTCTGTGCCGGACAGAAAAGGCAGCGACACCAATCGATGACCGGAAGCAGCTCCAAGAACGGCCCACCCACAGACCGGAAGCAGGCAGCGGATCAGACGAATTCTTCACTGAGTAAAATCTGGGCGCCATCTTGTAAAGGATGTAATAGATCTTGCGCAGCGTTTGCATGGATTAAGTTTGAATTTTACGTTTGGATTATAATTATCATGCTCCACGGCAAAGACTTCCGTCAATCGATATGTTTGTGTTAACTCACGCACGCACACGATGCGTGCATGAGCAGACAAGCACAATACTTTTTCGACACTGTGATCTACCACTGATAATCTAGGCACTCTGCCTCTTTCACAAATCGTCCAATACACCCACAGCAAAACGTACTCGAACATAAGCGCGCGTGCATTCATTACTGAAGTGGTCCGCGCTAGTCGCACATCCCGTTTTTGTCCCGTAATGGCGTCACGCCGGATGAGTCAATTGGGGTGACGTCATTCAGGCGCAGCTCATTTGCAGCGGCAAAGAAATGACCTGATTTCCGCAACTCGGCGGAGATTGCGCCGCAGAGCGCTCGGATGAGCTGACGCCCCAGGCGCCAGCTCCAGGCCCACTGAGTCGTCGCATTTGAGCTTAAAAGTACGCTGCCTAATTTCAGCGTAAAGATCCGCTCCGGTTTCGTTGGCTGCACCCATTGTTGGTGTTTTAATTTCACCATGATGCGAGCAGAGCGCAAAGAAGCCGAACGTGCAAATCGCTGATTTTGGTCGCGTCACGCCAGCGCTTTCCAGATATCGAGTAACTTTGCGGCAAACATTGGGGCAAGAGAGGTCTTTAATATTCCTGACCACGCTCAAAAGGACACTTGTGGTGCAGGAAGGGAAACATATCCAAACTTAAGTAAGGATATCTGCAATGTGTTTACGACTAAACATGGGAAATGTTTCATCATCATCACATGGTATTATCAGCCTATATATATATTCCATGCAGTCTATCAGTCTGTCTCCCTGCCGATCCGTCTATCTGTATATATCTTGGGAAAGAACGAGCCTTTCGGTGCTGGTTTCAAAACCATTACGGGCCTTACAGAACGGCCCGACGGGACCGATGGCGCTGGGTTTCTTCCCGTCCCCTTACGGGCCCTGGAGACTGGCCCCACTGGGTTAGTGGCGTGGGGTCCCTGGTTCCCTAGAACCACTCATGTGCATGAGGAATCAGAGGAAAAGCATGAACATGTGCGTGCGTGGGTGCTACGCGGGTGTGGGTGCGTGTGCGTGAACGTGTGACCGAGAGGGAGAATTAGAGAGGGACAGGGATAAGGACAGAAGAGAGGGGGAGGGAGGAGAGAGAGAGAGAGAGAGAGAGAGAGAGAGAGAGAGAGAGAGAGAGAGAGAGAGAGAGAGAGAGAGAGAGAGAGAGAGAGAGAGAGAGAGAGAGAGAGAGAGAGAGAGAGAGAGAGAGAGAGAGAGAGAGAGAGAGAGAGAGAGAGGAGAGAGAGAGAGAGAGAGAGAGAGAGAGAGAGAGGAGAGAGAGAGAGAGAGAGAGAGAGAGAGAGAGAGAGAGAGAGAGAGAGAGAGAGAGAGAGAGAGAGAGAGAGAGAGAGAGAGAGAGAGAGAGAGAGGAGAGAGAGAGAGAGAGAGAGAGAGAGAGAGAGAGAGAGAGAGAGAGAGAGAGGTAAGTGGCCTGCCAGTTTTCGTCCTGTAAGCTCGCTCTCTTCATTATTTCTTACTAGCAGGTACTTTCATGACCGCAGTAATGGCGAATTACTGACCTCATTGGTTTTGCTTGATTCCTATTTGTTTTGGTAGGTTGTACGTTTCTTAGCTGGGAATGCCGCGACCTTCAGCTTTGCAGCAACCGATGCCGGCCTTAACGTAAGGTTTGGTGCGCCGCGTTGGACAGGGGTGGGCATCTCTCGACACCCGTTCGTGGGTGATTGGTAAGTAGACAAAAATCGTGTCGTTATGCCTCAAGCCCGAGGCGTCAACCAG